AGGAAACAATGTTTCTGTAAACATGTTTCCTAGTTTAGCCAGTCCCTTATAACCAGTAAGCGCGAACGATTTCTGTTTACTCAGCTACAATAGGTTACCTCGGTGATTACTTTTCGCAACATAGAAGGCAAAAGTACTGAATTCTGATTGGTTTAGACAGAAATAATTTTTCGTTAGCAGAGGACGAATTTACACCGGTCATAGATTCGTGTGCCGTGAAGATTCTGAAGTTTATCTACGATTTCCAAAAATTACCCAAAGATTTCGGAATATTTTCGGACGATATGAGAAGATCAGCAAACATTTCCGATCAAATCTCAAAGATTACCCTCAATCACATTACCTTTGCCTTCTGTTAATAACGAGTAATCGTATTCAGTTTCCAGAATCACGAATTTCTGGTTTTCCTCACAAAATTAAAGTTTGTTTATAGAATTTACAGAAATTGCTCACGTCACTTTAGGGGACGCGGACAATTTCTGCAAGCGTGATATTAATTTTATTCGGCCCCAAGTGATTATCAATGCTAGTAGTAGCAAAATATCCTTACGCATTATCGCTAAGCCAGTGGCCATATTTTAGTGAAACCGTGAAGTCAGTGGATTGGCTAGAAAGCTAGAATGCAGCCCTTCCCCTACACCCCCCCCCCCTCCCCGCCCCCTACCCCGCAAGAAAATATAAGGTCAGATTTCCAAGTTAACTTACCCAAAAACTGTTCCAGGGCAGCTAAATACGCCTCCCACGGAAGGGAGTTGATCTTTTGCCCATTATCATTCAACATCTCAAGGAACAGTCGTGGATACAGGGTGAACAGGTGAAAGCCGTGCTCGTGATAGCCTTTGTAGCTGAGGCAGTTGTTGTAACCTGCAGCTGTTCTTAATGTTAAATATTCTCTTTGAATGGTGTCATCTTTACCAGTCAAGGATATTAAAGTGGACACGTCGTCCTCATAGATGGTGGAGTATGAGGTCGACGGTCCACGGACTGGCGCGGGTGAGGGGGGCTTCTGTGGCGTGAATTGTTCCCGAGGAGAATTAGCTGTTGTTTGATTCTCCTCGGTAGCCACAGACCAAGTATTTAACTCGGTTGCCTGTCAATATCAAAACAATATAAATTAATTCATGTGTTTTTCTCTGTTTAAAAAGCAATCTCGTTCCCAGAGTCCTTAGTACCCTTGTCCACCCGTTCCGCCACTGGACAAGGGTAACGAGGACTCTGGGAACGAGTTTGTTTAAAAAGATGAATTCATGGAAGCGCGCGGACATTTTTTCTTCACATGCCGTGACCTATCATAAAACGGACGACTGAGCGATTGTTCGACCAAATTAGTTTGATGATACGCCGAGTACAGAATAAAAATCTACGAAATTTCAATGGTAGAGGTTGTACAGAAGTACGAGAGATGTTTCAACGTTTACAAAGGCTGGGTGTTTTGTATGGCGTGGTTTACGCGGGATCTCCGAGCCTTGCACTGGTGGAATGTTCTAGTTGGCGCGTGGACAAATGTTTCATTTCTTTTTTGTCGATCAGTGAAAATTCATCGTTCGTTTTAAATTTCAATGTTATTTATCCATTCATATCATTCTCTGTAGAATCTCGGCAAAACGGAGATCCAGAGGATTGTGAACCGAGAATGAGCAAAGTACATTTTATTTAACGGATTTTCAACTGAACCCGCGTAGTCGGATACGCGAGCAAACTGAAATACCCTGGGGACGAGGTTGATACGCGAGAGATCTGGAGACAAGGCTCTCTGATTGGTCAGATTTATTTCAAATTGATTCCTTTTATGGAAGTGCTGACGCCATGCGTTTTTAACGGTTTTTTTTTTCGCGCTGAAGATGCGCGAACGAAGACGCATAAAATCAACGGTTTTTGCGGCTTATTACAAATAGTACAGCAAGCGCTTCGTTGTGCTTACCCTCTTCCTCCTAAAACTTCGAGGTATTTGAATTCTTGACTGATAAGCACCCATGTTAGCAGTCAGGAATTTCTTTTGGTCAGAGAGACAAAAGGTCTTCACGCTTTGAAAGTCAGTGAAAACTGAAGAGTTTCCCGGGTGGCGTCAGCTTTTATAGTCGTTTGTACGTCACTGCCACGTAGCCAATGTAGCTGTATGCTGATTGGTTGAAACTGTACGCAGTTTCCTTATATAGCAAGGTTTCAAATTCAAAATACAAATGTCGCAATCGTCTTTGAGCCTGCGATTTTTGCGGTGTGTCTGTGATGACCCAACGGCCAACACTGGCCAAAGTTTGCATGTTCTTTTTAGACTTTTTATGAATGATAGTTTTATTGTATGCATTTAAAAAATGCGACCAGTTTTGAAATAAAGGTGATCACTTTCTTTGTTAGTGGAAACTGTTTCGTTTCATTACCACCTTTCATTGTGCCTTTAGTACTCGTACCCGCGCAGACCGCACAGTCTGGAGCCGTAGAGCTGTTATGAAGACGAACCTCATAACCCTAAAACAAGTTTCACTATAACCAACTTTGCCTAACCCAACCCTAACACATTGGCTACCCAAATTGACACAGCCTGAATTTCATCCGTCTCCTCTCCTTTCATCCGTCTCTCTCAGAGACACGCTTCGCAACGGTTTCGATGGCTGCTTCTCCTGTCATAAAAAAGTTATCATCACATTACTGGACGGCAGAAGCATATAGGTGATAAGCTTCTGTGGACGGTGATTGGGCATTCTTGAACTCAAGCGGATGATTACTTCCTCCTGATTGGCTGAACGCACGTTTTTTGCACTGAATTGGCTTCCGCTTGAAACGAGATTTTTGAAAGAAAGTTCAGAACAAACGCTTGAGTTTGATTGAAATGCAGTTAACTTATTTCATCAAAATAATGAAAGAACATCGGCCTGTAGCATAGAAAAAAATGTGTAGGACTAAATTTTGGTGTTTTGGTCGAAGTGAAAGAGGATTTTTCATCTGAAGTTGTTGTTGTTGACAGCCTCAAGACTTTGAGTCGTTGATTCGTTGGTTTTGGTCGTTTTACCAAGAACAGTTTTCTTCGTTTCAGTATTACCACTGGAGACAGCGTAAATTCTGTTTGCATTCATAATTTTTGCAGTGAAAAGGAGGTTGTAAATGAGGGAAGTCACTCTGGAAGTTCGTTTGGAGTCAGTTTGTTTTCGACTTTCACGCAACGGCTGCAAGCTTCACAAGTCAGGTGAATAAAATTGAGCTGTTTTGAGTTTTATTTGACAAGAAAATGTTTTCACTGCACTGATGTGCTATGTTATGATTTACTACTTTAGCTGTAATATTACTGTAAATATTTCTTGTTGTGTAAGCTTATAAGCAATGCGGCCGGTCAGTTTTGTCCGATAAACCGGGGAAAAACTTCTTTACGTGACATTTCTGTTTTTATCAACGTATGGTTGAAAATCTGAATCGGAATGTAACTGCCGAAAGCTAAATTGAATGCTTTGAGAAGATCAATGCAACGAGAAGTTCGTTTGGATTCATTGTTGTTTAGCACATTTTTTACAGGCGGTTTGCAGCAAGCTTCTACAGGGCTCTCTACAGCAAGCTGAATAAAATGTAAAATGACGAACTTTTCGCGAGAGTAGTAGATCATTCAGTTCTTTCAGGAACTAGTAATTTTGGACTTGACTTCAACATGATTCTTCTTCTCCTTTCTATAACTTAAGTTTTGCATAACAGTATCTTTTTAATAGACAGATCCGAACTTTTCTGAAGATTTCCGAAGATTGCTGAGAAAGATCTGAAGATATTTTTAAATTAATATCAACAAATTTTAGCTCATTCATCATTGAAACATGGCAAACTTATCAACACACATGACCTCATCGATATCTTCACTTGTGAATGAAAGATATCGTCAGTGTAAAATGCATGTATTGCAAGCGGAGACTATCCCAGATCTGGTAAAGTTGAGTTACATTACACTTCATTGGCATGCTGGCACTACTAGCTTCTGTTAAAAGTCAATGAGCACTAATGTGGTATTAAAAGTTAGCCAAGGTTTATTTCTCCTATGAAAAGGATATATCACTGCTTATTTTAGCTTGAGGTAAAAAACAGACTAAAATGAAGGGCAAAGACAATACTCTTACAACTTATTATTTTTTTTCAGTTTATTGTAAAGGAATCATTATTTCCTAACTAGAACTCTTTAACAAATCTTTTATATTTTTTCCTATAAACACATTCTCATCGGCTGATAGATAATCAGGGGCATCAGGGCAAGACAAATATTAAACTGGTCCATTTGTGCAAGCCACTTATCACAATTTCCCCTTGTCCCAACGTTTATGTAGTTTTCTTGCAATTGACTGCTGTTATTTGTGTCATCACACAATGTTTCTGATACTAATCTGTGAGGAAGGTTTAGGGTCTCTGCTGAGGAGGAGATAATTATTGGCCTGCGAACAAGCTCTCTTGCGGTTTTGGGAGAGCTTGCTCGCAGGCTAGATAATTATTTGCACCAGTATCAGAATTCCACAACAACGAACAATAAACGTAATTTGAATTTTACATTTTTCAATGTCAGAGATGACTCTATGATATGTACTTATTAATATTTTTTCAAGACCACTCATTTCTCTGTCATTTCTCAGCTGACACTTTACACTTCTCTTTGAAGTCCTCTACCAATAACGATTCTCTTTTGTCCCACAATTCTTGAAGTAATGGATCAAGTTTACTGGCGAGAACCATCTCATTAATTTCATTGTGGCTGAACTTTTTATATTTCTCATCTTCGCCTTCAAGTTGTTGCAGTTTAAACGAGTCTCCATATCTCATTGGCTTTATCTCGTTCAAGTTTTGATAAGTATACCTCACCAACACCAAGTGTAGCACGTTCCACTGAGTATACACTGACTAAGCGCTGGAAAATAAGTTAATTTAAGTTAATTTTGTATACAGCCAAATCACCCATGGGGAACCCGGAAGTATAATTTTGAGAAATATATTAATCCGTCAGTGACACAATTAAGCTACTAAGAATTTTTTTTTCCAAGTTCTCCCAACAGCAGTCAAACCTAATGATCTTCTGCGCAAGGGTCAGACGCTCTACCACTGAGCTATGGGAGACTTGTGGGAGCTAGACCATATAACTAGGTCACTGACTGATTAACAGATTTCTCATATTTCTACCAAGCTTAAAATATACCATAATAAGTGTAATTTTCTTTTGCAAAACAATTTACAAAGAAAACTTTAGTTTTTTAGATAAAAAGGTAAACATAATTTTAATTTTTTCTTTTTGCCAAGTGAGCATTGACAAGTTCCTGTCATTGCTAAATATTGAAATTCACCTCCAAACGTCAAGATTGTTCATGTTATCTACATTAAATATCAAAGTCTAGCTCAGTAAGTGTTATCAGTCTCATCCTTCGGCTTTGATTGGCCATTGTCTATTTCTTTTATAAAATAAAGCCAACGAAATGGAATGATATATATTCAGAACAGTGTCACGACCTAATGCAAAATGACTACATATATATATCAGACTTAAATTAAAGGTTCCGGCATACCGTTTCTCCAAAACCTGAAACTGGAGGTTCCCAGGCCAAAGCTTTGTGCAATTTCATGGACTAGTTTACGCTGTGGTTTTTCAAGAGTTGCGGGGAACTGCAGTACAGCATCCTGGTCCTTCCAACCTTTTTCACGAAACCACTGAATAAGAATGAAAGTATTTTGTTAGTAAAATTAAGGTTCACTACAATATTTTAAGGAGACTATTAATTTTGCATTAAATTTAATCTTTAATTTTCATTTACACCAACTAGGCAAATACTCCATTAGGAAAATTAAACCACAAATCGAAGCTGGATAAATTAAATGTAACTGACATTAGGTATAAATATGTTGCATTGTGATTAAGGATTCATTTTAAAAGACCAGTTTGTAGATCACGATTAGGTTTTAACTATGGCTAAGTAGCCTGAGTATAAGCAGAATGTCCCCTCATGGTGCCAGGGGGGCGGGAAGTCTACGGGAGGTGAGTGAAGAGAGGGGCAGGAAGCAGGATTTCCAAGGTGGTGGGAACCAGGTGAGGAGAAATAGGAAAACATTTTTGCAACATAATGCGTGATATTAATATTTTGCAATAGAAAATGCACAGAGATGGGGAACCACAACGCGGAAGGGGCGGGAACCTTGAGGTCAAGGTACAGGAAGTTCAGACCCCCCTGCCCCCCCACTTCATGTGCTTAATTCATCCCTGCAAGAGAGATGTCTGAGATGACATAACTTTACAGAGATCAGTGTAACTGTTATACGTCTTGTGTGCAAAAAAAAAAAACAATCATAGACAAATACACGGGTCTCTGTAGAGCTACATCCCAGCTCAGTATGGTATTTTTCAAGGTCTCTCTCATGGAGATGAATTGAATGCGCAAAGATAAATGTCCGTTTACTCCTGAAGCTAATGGTTAACTGCTTTCTGGTTGTCTGAAACTTACCAACATGAGTTTCCTCAGCTCTTTATAATCAAATGGAAATTCAAACTCTTGAATATTTGAGTCACTGTTTTCCTTATCAGATACTTCATGAAATGGAAGACCTGCGCATGTATAGAAAACAGTTGCCATGTGTTAGGACTGATTTACTTCAGTACTGATTTACCATTTTTATTACGTAACATGCGTTATTGCGCCAACAGTGTGTAAAGGAGCTACAGTTGTGTGGTCTACTGTCTAGTCATAATTTTTGTTACATACATGTATAAACTGGAGACCTGTCAACCTGTAGGAACTTGAAATCTGGAGATTTTTACAAGAAGATCAAAACAAATAAGGGAATATTGATCTTTATTATATGGCCAGCTGGTCCACGATGAAAAGGAGCATTCTGATTAGTTCCCTGAGCAGTCCGAAATTTGCAATACGGACCGCTAAGATGGACCGCTCACAAACTCATTTGCCGAATTCCTTTTATGAAACATCTCATGTCTGGCGGACAATTTTGGTTAAACCTTTTCGCAAAGTGGCCTGAAAAATGCAAGAATATGCTTAGCTTTGGCGCGTGCACACCGAGAATGGTTGCATTAATTTATCAGCAATTTTTTTAAAAACCCATAATAAAAACTTTATTGAACTAGCTTGTTCGGTCCGTATTGGGAAATATTGGTCTCATTCTTTTTTTGCAAGTTTATGGACCTCGCCTTCGGCTCGGCCATAAACTTGCAAAAAAAGAACTTGACCAATATTTTCCCAATACGGACCTCACGCTAGTTCAATAAGATCTATATCATGTAAGTTGAAACTTAGAGATTGACTAAAATACATAAAAACATATTAATATTTGATAACCAGAATTTCAGCCATCTCACCTCTGTCGCTTAGCAGCAGAGGAGATGGCTGAAATTCAGGCTAATCAATAAATAATTATTATTGAAAGCTAGCTGCCACCAAATTGTGTTAATTTGCTGTGAGGATGTCATGACCTACCATGGGATGTTGGTTAAAACTGGGGGTCCCCTAGTGGGACTGGGGGCATGACAAGCCTGAAACTGGTCTAAAAAATCTAATGAAGCCCCCTAACAATGGTTTGGAAGTTTAAGAATAGTTCAGAAGTCATAGACAATCGGAATAAGGGCATCTGCAGGCCAATTCACATATTTTTTTGTCAACAGAGTTCACACCCAAAATCAAGCTTGTGTCACTGACTGAACATCTTTCTCAAAATTAACAATATTTCTGTAAATTATATGCAAAATATTTCACCATCAGATGCAAGACAACTATTATTTTTTTTATTTCTCTTTATTTATGATGAAGATCCCAGAAGTTTGGCATGGGTGATGTATCCAAGACAACCGCAAAAATTATGTGATGAAAACTACATGTATGCACATGTTATACTTACTGTAAGTGTTTTCTGATCTCAATTTTACTGTAAAAACGGCACCCCCTGCATCTTGGGCTATATCATCTAGAGATCTTTGTGAATCTTCTGCATTTTTTTGTGGTTGAACCCGCTGTTTCTTTAGATCTGGCTCCTGGAGGAACGTACCGTTTAGCCATGGTCTTTTCAGGCCCTGTGTAATTAGAATAAATTATATAATAGAATAACAGCATGATTTTCATGCTGGACTCGAGCTCTGTGAGTATTCTTTTCTCAAATTAAATTGTTTCAATTTTGGTTTACTTGTCCAGATTTGTGATGAAAAATTGGTCTCTAATATATAAAGCCCTGGTCAGTAGATGAGAGTCGATGATAGTTTAACTCACCTAACTATTATCTACTAATCATGAACTATCTTGCGCCGCGTGGTCAAACGGGAAAAAACTCTCATCGACTCTCATGAAAAATTTGAGCAGGTTCAAATTCAATGAGAGCGCGTGAGAGTCAATTAATGATAGTGCATGATAGTCGGTGGTCAAACGGGAGCGCGAGTTTCAACTATCATCGACTCTCGTGCGCCGTTTGACCAGGGCTTAAGAGATTGAACTTTGAGATTTGCAGACTTGAGCATATTTTAAATCGTTTACCTCCTGTATGTACAGTGCAGGAATATTGATGTCAATGTGGCCTACAACCCCAGCCATTGATTATTGGGATAAAAAAAAACTTTGTTCAAATGGTGGTCACAAGCTTTACATGTTGTAACTCATAAACAAGTTATTCCAATGGGGGGGGGGGGGGGAGGGGTTAACTACTTGTGGTATACCCAAAACATATATACCCAAAACTATAGAAACACCACAGAAAACAACATATGCCCTAGATCAAGTCTAAATGACAGAAATTTTCAACTTCCAACTTCATATATCTATTGCATTATCTCCTAAATATACCAAACACCCATATTTAAAAATACTGTACGCCTCATAATATTTTTTTCAAAATAATATGTAAGCATGAATGCCACATACCCAAAAGTCAAAACCCCTGGCCCACCCTGATTAAAACTGTACAATATATGTACTGGTTGGTTACATTTACTGTCAACTCTCTCAAAGCGGACACCACTGTAAGGCGGACATGCTGGCTGGTTAAAGTGAGGATCCACATTCATGATATTCATCGCTACTTTTAAGTTTTTGTCAAAAATAATCACAAAACATGCAGTCCGCCGCGCGTCGTCATCTGTCAGTCCTTGATCTGTGTTCCCCGCATCAGTACAGTATCTGCTCTTAAAAATATTTAACATCATCGGAACAAGAAACTTGTTTGATAAAAGAAGCACTCACCGTTTTAACTGGAAGGTCTTGAAACGGCAGTGTGAAAGCAAATACAGAAAAATGTCAGCTTCTCCGAGAGAGTTAGAAAAGATGGAGAAAAGACAAAAACAAACAGGCGTTTCACGGGAGGCAATTTATCCGAGAGGGGAAATGGTACCTAGTTGTCGTTGAAACATCGCGGAAAGCTCGGTCAGATGTTCTCTGATGTTCTACACAGATTCAGGATTCTTCTTAGGTAAGAAATGTTATTTTAATTTCGTTTATAAATATTACGTACCTTTAAAGTTCAAGGAAAAAAATATTTGGATTCCGTGCGAATTGTACCCGGCATGACCACTATAATTTGGCATAAACGTCCGGACTGATAGCCCAGTACGTACTTGTACCACAGGTAGCCCAAGCTCTATATATGAGTGATAAATTATAAATGACCCTGACCTTTGTTTCAGCTGAGCGGTAATTTTGAGCGTCACGTAAAACCGTTTGCGTAACAGCGAAATTATAAGGGTTTGTATGGGAGAAAATCGTTTTCCTTTTGAATTTAAAAAATATGAACGATTTTTGAATAAAAAATCACTCACCTGAACTCCTTGCTTGTCTGTCTGTGTCCTGTTTGGTTTTTTAGGTCATTGGAAGCGATTTTAGGGTTTTTTTTTCACTCTTTCTCCCTATATATATCCTTTCCCAACCTTGGGAAAGGATATATATAGGGAGAAAGAGTGAAAAAAAACACCCCTAAAATCGCTTCCATGGACCTAAAAACCAAACAGACACAGACAGACAAGCAAAGGAGTTCAGGTGAGTGATTTGTTTTCAAAAATCGTTCATATTTTTTAAATTCAAAAGGAAAACGATTTCTCCCATACAAACCCCTTTAATTTCGCTGTTACGCAACGTTTTTGG